TGCCACTTTTAGAGATTATAGGCGTAACATCCACTGAAAAGACTTTCTCTGTGGGTTTTGCATACCTCCAGTATGAGAGGGAGGAAAATTATGCATGGGCATTTGGTATTTTGCGTTGTTTGATAGATGGGAATAGTCTTCCCAATGTTATTGTTACAGACAGAGAATTGAGTCTAATGAATGCTGTTGCGACAATATTTCCACGAGCTACAAGTTTGTTATGTAGATGGCATATTAATAAAAATGTGTTGGCCAAATGCAAGAAATTATTTGAGAAGAAAGAGAAATGGGATATGTTTATAACAAGTTGGAATATGTTGGTTATGTCATCTTCTAAAGAAGTATACATGTAACGACTCGCATTATTACAAAATGAGTTCGACTTTTATGCAGAGGCACTTCAATATGTCACATCTTCTTGGTTGGATGCATATAAGAAGAGATTTGTGGTTGCATGGACATATACATGTATGCACTTGGGAATTTCAACAACAAACAAGTAAATTCAATTACTTAAAAAAAAACGTGTATTTTCTTGGATCTATTACTTATATTTTCTTGTAATGGTTTACATATATAGGGTAGAGAGTTCACATGCAAAGCTTAAGAGATATCTTGCATCAAGTCAAGGGAGTTTTTAGTCAAATTAGTCAAGGATACACAATTTGCTTGAGTTGCAACACACTGATATCAAATCATCGTTTAAGAAGAGCAAGACACTTATGCAACATAATTTCAAACCTGCTCATTTTAAAGATCTTAATGGGAATGTGTCTATTGCAAGAAATGATATTGGCAGAGTCCAAGCGAGCATTTTTTGTTGGCATTGACATTGTTACATGTGGTTGTGTTGTTCGGCGTACACATGAATTACCATGTGCGCATAAAATAGCAGATTATATGAGAGAAAACCGACCAATTCCTCTAACTTCTGTAGATCTACATATTGGTCCAAGCTTGACGTGCTTAATATTCCGAAAAAATCAAATTCATTTTTGGATTGAAAATCGGAGTTAGATATGTTTGCTCGACGTTACGAAGAGGTAGATCTAATTATGCAGGTTCAAATGTTAAAGAAGTTGGAGGAGATACATACACCTGAAAGTACATTCCTGATTGAACTCGAAGTGAAGCTTAACCTACGGGGTCGACCATCCTTGAAGATGGATACTTCTACTCGTCTTGAGCCCTCTGCCTTTGAGTTTGTTTCATCTGCACAGGATAGCTATTCACCAAGTGCAGGTTTGAAGGAAAATAAGTGTCCAAAGAAATTAAAATCAATGTAGTGACCAAAGGTGTGAGTTTGCAAAGCGATTAATTATGTCTTATACCTGTACAACAACATGTATTAACTAAGTATAACAGTGGATTGTATGTGTGTAGGTATACCCACATCGATCAACAAAAAACACCAATTTGTCTTTTGTAGGTGAATTTCCTACAAGTTTGAGGCCATATATTCAACTCATGAAGAATGTTCATGCTGAAGGTAATTGTGGATTTCAATCCATTGTTGGATTGATGGGATTTGGGGAAGATGGATGGTTGCAAGTGAGGAAAGATTTACTACAAGAATTACATGTCCATATAGATCACTACAAGAGTTTATTTAAGGGCCAAGAAAGGGTTGATGAGTTAACTACTACTTCAGCGTATTTTGAATCAAATGCTGGATATGGTCATTGGATGACAATACCTGACATGGGTCATCTGATATCATATTTTTATAATGTTGTGTTATTTCACTTATTTTCTCAGCAATGCCTTACTTTTCTCCCTTTTAGGACGATACGAATGTCGGTCACATCTTGCAAGGAGATATGAGTCGGGTTCGTCAACAACAACCATTTCGTTCAGGTACTCATTATGAGGCCCATTCTTGAAACAAATTTGTTTCTCTTATTAGCACAACAATAATAAAAATCATATTGCACCATTATTTCATATTTGCAGGTCTTCTTGGTGCATGGTCACCCAGTGCCACCTATAGCAACAAATTGGCGACGTTACCATTTACCTGTTGCAGCAGGATGGAAGACAACTTATAATGCCCGAGTGCACCATTTAACTTCACTCGTAGGATCAAGTGTAGCAACCATTGAGACAATAGAGTTGGATGTAGACATATGATGTTCTAGCGAAATAGATGTGCATGTTTATAACATGTTTTTTATTATTTGAAAAATTTCAGTTTTATTTCTTTATGAAACTGGTTGGTACTACTTATCTTTGTTAATCAAAAGTATTAAACTTATCTTTGTCAATCAAAAGTATTTCTTTATGAAATTTGTTACCACTTTGAATGGTTAAAATTGTTAACGCTTGTAGAAGTTTTCATTTTTCCAAGTTCAGTAATACAAGCCCGAACATTACTTATTTGTTCAGGAACACATTCCCGAACATAGCTTATTTGTTCAAGAATGCAGGCCCGAACATGGAAATTTGTTAACACTTTCAATGGTTAAAATTATAAACACTCCCAGAAGTTTTCATTTTTCTAAGTTCGGGAATACATGCCCGAACATAGCTTATTTGTTCAGGAATGCATGTCCGAACATTGAAATTTGTTAATACTTTCAATGGTTAATATTCTGAACACTTCCAGAAGTTTTCATTTTTTCAAGTTCGGGAATATAGGCCTAAACATAGCTTATTTGTTCAGGAATGCATGTCCAAACATGGGAATTTGTTAACACTTTCAATGGTTAAAATTCTGAACACTCCCAGAAATTTTCATTTTTTCAAGTTCGGGAATACAGGCCTAAACATAGCTTATTTGTTCGGGAACACGTTCCCGAACATAGCTTATTTGTTCCGGAATACAGGTCTAAACATGGAAATTTTAATACTTTCAATGGTTAAAATTCTGAAGACTCCCAAAAGTTTTCGTTTGTCCAAGTTCGGGAATACAGGCCCGAACAATTCTTATTTGCTCGAGAACACATTCCTGAACAAATAAGCTATGTTTAGGAATGTGTTCCTGAACAAATAAGAATTGTTTGGCCTGTATTCCCGAACTTGGAAATTTGTTAACACTTTCAATGGTTAAAATTCTTAACATTTGCAGAAATAAGTAATGTTCTGGAATGCAGGTTTGAACATGGGAATTTCTTAAACTCAATGATTATATATATATATATAGCTATAAAACACAATAACAACAGTTAAAGCAACCATAACAATCAAACACGGCATATATAACTGAAAAGCATTAATGAAATTACTAACTGAAAACCATAGTGCGAACATAATTATCATACATCAAAGCAACCATGACAAAATCATACATATTATTACTACGTTAAAAGGATGGTCCATAATCATCCATACTAATACGAAAATACGTATAAACATTCGCTCTAATAACAAAACATCCATAATATCATCATGAATTTTCAGCTGTATCTAGTGTCAGTTTGGTGAGGACGAGGACAAAGGTGACGGCGATAAACCAAACTTTCTTCTACGGACTATTGTTGTTCTGATGGGGAGTGATGTTCCAGTGGGGAGTGTTGTTCTTCATCTATGTGTTGACCCTCCAATAATTGTGTCACTAGTTTGAATGCATTGTACAGAGACTTCGGACCACTAATGACTTCAATGTAATCCAACTGCATTATTGGACGTGCTATAGTCAAGGCTTTTGCATTGAGTTGTGAGTCATTGTGAGAAATTGATGCCTTAGAACGAGGGTCGTATGTAGATCGATGTGCCGGATTTTGAATAGTGACATGGGAAATGCGACAATACCAATCCATGTAATTGGGCGTGCAATCCCATGGATGTAAAACCGGCTCACTTTGCTCTCTTCAGACAACACATGATTTTTTCACCTCTCTGTAATCTGATCCACATATTTGTACGAAAGACAATACTTGCCAGTAGTAGATCATCGTGAAATAGGAACAAGTGGAGGTGGGGAAATATTTTGCACCCTTCCAAATTGTCACAAAAACCTATCTGGATTATAGGGTTCAACAATATCCATGCATTTCAGCAATCCAGTATAGTAAGCAACGTCAACAAATGAATGGTTGTCACATTTACTAATATATGGATCCCAAATAATCTACCAAGAATACACAAAATAAGTAAATTTCTCTATAAAGATCAATCACATAAAGGAATTACACTTTTCTTTTTTACCTCATGAGCCTCCAATCTATCAAGCTCCTCTCACAATGACTTTAACACAGCAACCGACGAACCAGATTGTGTGCGAGGAATCCAACGATAAGCCCGAGACTGGTTTTCTGTATAATTTAAATTTTGATGGGTTCTAGCACATATAAAATGTTCGTAGATCCAAGCCTCCAACAATGTCATGTATCCCGCTAGTTGTCAGACAATAGACTTTGTTGCCATACCCAAATGCCAATACAAAAAAGCCAATGCGGCTGTAACCCAAGCATACGAATGAACTAAATTCAATTCCTCAAGCAACTAAAGATACACAATAGGAACACGATTTTTAGTCTTGTCAATGAACAAGGTACAACCTAACAAGAATAATAAATATGCCCTCGCTGCATAATGAATGAAATCATCCGAATCCGCATTTGAAACTGACTGAAATTTTCCATGCAACCATTCCAATCACACTGATTGGCCCCGCGCTCCTTTCAACTCAACAACTGAATCATCTTTTGACATTCCCAATGACTTAATCAACACCTTTGCAGCTTTATCCCGTGATAACTTATTAGTTGAAACAGATGTACTAGTCACATGAATTCCTAATATGGTACTTACATAATCTAATGACTAAGGACATATCACCAAATGGCATGTGGAAATTGTTAATCTCAGGTTGCCATCTTTCAACAAAAGCAGATACAACTACCTTGTTCACAAATTTGTATGAGCAACTCGATGGCCTCGTTTGGGAAGTGGCTATTTTAGTAGGCTATTTTAGTTTTTGGCTATTTTAGTAGGCTAAAATTTTTGTGTCTGGGAAGATGATTGGATTTTTTTGTGGTTGGATGTGATGTTTGTGAGAGAAAAAGTGAAATGATTATGGGTTTGATGTGATATTTTGTCTTATTAGCTATTTTAGCCTATTTTATCTTTTTGTGATTTTTAGCCTAAACTAAGCTATTTTTTTTCTTCCCAAACACCCCCAAAGAATACCATCCTGAATGTTTAATAATGTCCATAAATTTAGAGTTCTCAACTCATTCTGATGTTAAAGACCAATCAGCAACCTTATACCCATGGTTCAAGCATCTCAACAAATCTTGTTCCTGCATCATTGCATACCACAACAGTGTCATGTATTTCAAATTTATTTATTTAAATGATTAAAACAAGACAATAGTTTGTAAGTTATACCTCATTATTCCAAATTTTGGCTGCTACATGACAACTAAAATTTGTCAAAATGGAAGGATCAATTGGGCCCTCGGGAAAAGGTGTAGCAAGCGCTTCACCTGAACCAGGCATGTCCATGGGACGGTCAACATCAGGAATGTTCATGTGGTGGTTAACGGCAAGAATGTTTGTTTACTCTTTATTGCCATCAATATCATTGACAATGGGTTCATTACCATCAAATTTGTCAACTTGAACATTATGAGCACGACGTTTCTGACTGACATTTTGAGGTACTTAGGAGTTGTTACACCTCAAAGATGTCATTTGCCGCTTTCAAGTTGTATTGTTAACTTCCATAAGCTAGCTGCATTATTTGGAAGACACAATATTTTACAAAGTAAGACAAGTATAGTAATGACAAAAAAATGAAAACATATTTATTAGGGAATGAGAAAATAAAAGGAAATAATATGATTATATACAAGAGCAAACATGTTATATGTGAAAAGAAAGTTAGCTTGTTAGCCTATGATTAAGGGATCTTATATTGAATTTGAACATGAATTTTGAATGTTTAACATGCTAAAATATGCATTTTTGGTGAAACCCATGCATATTAACATGCACTTATTAACTTTAAATAATCCCTCTGTTTTCAAAGAGATTGAAGTAATCTCCATGAATCTATGTACAACTGGGTAGTCATTTGTCAAATGCACATAAAAAAGAGAGAGGTGGAGTTAGAGATTTTACTTTTCTGACATGAGTTATCCTTGGCACATAAAAAAATAGTGCATGTGTAGAAAGAATTGCCAAGACAAACAATAAAAAGAAAAAGCTGAAAGCATGAAAAAGACCTGCAAAATGCCCATCCAACGTATTCTTTCAATGTCAACACCATATGTCAAAGATATTATTCCATGCAGATAACCACCTGAAACGAAAGAACACAAATTCTTAAATTCTATAACTATATCTGGAAATCATATGGTCAAATTTATGTAACAGAAATGATATGAGATGACAACAGCATAATATAGTTCAAACTGTAAGACAGCAGCAAGATCACGGACCAAGAAAATGTGTTAAACCAACAAGGGAAATTGGCCTCACTCTCTCATATCTTGTCCTTTATTTAGTTTCAAAAGTGAAATTTGCAGCAATTATACATCCATTCATGGTAAATGAATGTTCTAAATAAAACATAATGTCAATTGTAGTATTGACCACTAGAAAAAGAAAACAGTTGCTGAGGGCCACAAAGGGTACAAGAATGTTAACTACAAGAATTCTTCTCCCGTGGTTAAAGTGGAATTTGAGTGATTCACTTATTTAACATACAGAATGGAAAGTCTTCCACGATAAACTTGCCATTTATTTACATATGAACCCATAAAATTGGTTTATGTTTTTTCTTGATGTACTAGAAAATTTATAATGTTTCAATTAACCAAGGTGGGTGAACTTTTGTTAAACATACTACCAATTACCTACTGCTCTCCTTTATTATCTCAATAGATATAGTAATTTATTTATAAAATGAGGAGCACGAGGCATATAGAAGTCTTTTGCACCTTGTAATAATGATATAAGGACAAGAAAAACATTAAATCCACAAGAAAGAAACCAAAAAGGGGGGGGGGGGAACCAAAGAAATAAATGAAGAAAAACCAGCCTATGAAAGTTTTAAAGATTTAATAAAATGAAGCCAATGATCCAATCATCAATTACAAAATGACAGCATAATTGAACAATTGCTAAATAAATAAAATCTATAATCAATAATTTAACCAGTAAATTCACTAAACCAATGAATCTAAACATTGCAGTCTAGTGCGATGTTGCCTTTACATCTGTTCATACTTGAGAAATCCTCACCTAACCCTCCTCCCTAGCCTTGAGAAAAAGCCAACTTATGCATGTATTATTATTATAAATCAAAATCTATAATAAGTGATTAATTTGATCCACAAATTCCACATATGGGACAAGGATAAGATAAATCATGCCAAAAATCATTACACACAATAGACACTTGAATATAACTTTTTAATACAAAACATATTTTATAGTAACATTGAAGTCAATGAGGAGGCCCACTCTGGTGTAATCATTTTATCATCAAAATAACTTTTTAAATCTAATGGGATGGATCGTCGAACTCAATCGACACAATTGTTTGTCTCAACTAAAGAAAATCATTCAGTAAATATAATTGATCTGGTATTGTGCATACGTAAATAAATAGTTGGAAGATGCAGAGTTAACCTGTGGATATGAACGATTCACAATTACAACACTGATTTCAACATACTAGAGATTTTTATTTTATTTTTATTTTTCAGGGGGGATGGGGGGGAAAAAGGAAACAAAAGATAAGCCATTCTTCTCATGGGGTTGCAAAAGTCAAAATTTCAAGAGAGAGGGAGGGGGGTTTACCCAAAAACAAGCCTAAGAGTCAAGAACTTTACACATACACAGATGAAAAACAGAGTCAATAATATCTTTGGTAATCACTGTCTATGGTAGTTTCAGTTTTGAAGAAACAATGAGAGAGAGAGAGAGAGAGAGAGAGAGAGCACTTACTACCTGTGACAACGGTTCAATTGGCAGAGACATTCTTCTTCTTCGTGGGTTTTGAAATTTCTTCTTCTTAGTGAGTTTTGTTAGGTTTTTTTTTTTGAAAGGGAGGTTTTCTTGGGGGGTGTGGGGGTGTTCAATGAGTGGGGTGCGGGGGTGTTCAATGTGGAATGTGTAAGGATTATTTTGGTATTACTTGATTTGTAAAAAGAAATTTTAAGGGTTTCAAAATTTATAAGTGGGGGTCTAAATAAATAGAAGGTCTAAAATAATTTATGGGGTGCTAATAGCACCACTCATTCTAATAATATCCTCCAATGAAATGACCATTAAGGACAACATAAGGTGTGTTCTACCTATTCAAAAATTTCATATTTAAAAATACAAAATACTCTTTCACACAATATTATTCCTATGGGGTTTAAGGTTTTAACATACAAATATTGTATTTTTCAACATCTTCACCATTAATATACACTCGTGATATCATTTATCATCAATTAGCTCGCTTCATTCTCTTCTCCATTATTCTTATTTTTCAAACTCAAAACATTATTGTCTTAGGGTTTAAGAACATTGAAATCAATTAATTTTGAAGATTTGCACACCATGAATGACACTGAGATAGTTGGTTCCCATATAAACATTGAAAGCGTTGACTTGAACATTGAAAATGTTAGTTTATGACTTAGTTTTTTTTATTTTTATTTATCTTGTTTGTATATTTGGAAGATGAGTTGGTTCGTCGTGTTTGGATAACTAGAGTTGAACTTTTACATAATATTTAATTATTTATATTTGAACAAAATAATTTTGTTCAAATTATTAAGGTTTACCAAATATTAATTGTTCATACATAAAAAATTGAACATTTTAAGTTAGTTGGGTTAAAATAAATTAAAATTTTATTTATTGTTTAGATATAAATTTTTGAACATATTAAATTTGTTCCATTCTGTATTAATGGACATGACTAATTTAATGAATTTGAAATAACAACGAAAAACAAGAGTTCAAGACTAACAATGAATATCAATACCAACGAATATGGAGGCCGAATAAAACACATCGCTAGCAATTTGAAACGATGAGATGACAAGATGAAACATAACGAGAATTCAACACCAACTATGGAGATCAACACTGGCGAAGATGGAGGCTGAATGAAACTTTCACTGGCGATGGAAATCAAGATCGATGAAAATGGTGTCTGTTCTGAAGATTGTAGGATTTTTGTTATGTGTAGCGGTGAAGATGAAGAGTTTTTAGTATATGTAATGGTGTATATTTAGATAGTTAGTGGTGTATAGGGTTAGTAATGAAAAGTTAAGGTGTGAACTAAGATATTTTTAAATCTTAAAAATTATTTTGTGTATGTACTAAGTAATAGTGTGTACTAAGAGTATTGGTGGTGTGTAAATAAAATCATCCTATTATTATGCAGTGCATGCTTAAACATATTTTTAAAAATAATTTTATATGCATATTATAACACCTTGTTTTGAAATAAATTTTTGGGCAAATTACAAACACCCCCTCGAGATTTGGTAAAAATACAGATTCCTCCCTGAGGTTTGAGAAATTACATCCAGCCCCCAGAGGTTTATATTTCCATAATAAATTGCCCCCTGAGGTTTTTATTTTCATACAGATTCCCCCATAATTTTTCATAATTTGTTATGAAAATTTGACCCTCATGGAGCAATTTGTAATTTCTCAAACCTCAAGGAGAATCTGTATTTTTATCAAATCTCGAGGAGGTGTTTGTAATTTGCCCTAAATTTTTTTATTCCATGTATTAAATTGATCAATTACTAGTGTGTCATTAACTAAAATAATAATTACTATTGTCTATTTGACTTGAGCTTCGCTAATTATTTATTTATTTATTTGAGGAAGCTTCTCGTGTATCTCTTGAGGGGTCTGTGAAACGTATAATGGTTTCACTTTGATAATTTAAATCGTTTATTTTGTAAGATTAATCGTGTATATCATTTATAAATAAATTAGATCAATCTGATAATTGTAATTGTTTTATTTTATCGTATTTGTTTTCAAAAAATAAATAATTTATTTTTAAAAACATCCTTGATGTATATTTTCTCGGAAATAAGTGTGATAAAATGAAAAATCCTAGTATCGAATTAATCTAATTTTTTTTATAAATAATATATACTAATAACTTTATAAAATAAATTATTGAAATTATCGAAATAGGAGTCGTAACATGCCAAAGGGACCCTTCTAAGCTGAGATTTGTACATGAACTTGTAAGAAGCTAACCTTCAGTAGCTGGACCTACTGTGAAGGTTTACAGATGTTAAACTTATCTGGCTAACCCACGGTGTCAAGCTTTTTTATCCTTCAATTTTATTTTTCCAGGAACACGATTAAAATTGGGTATGGCCAGGTGCCACTGGACTGAGTGTTGGATGTATTTTTCCTTTCTACAGTTTATTATAATATTTAAGAGTATATTGAAGAACCCTCTTGTCTATTTAAATTATTATATTATACTTCTATAGCTGAACATATCATTTATAACAATTCTTACTATTTTATTTTATTTTATCTTTTGTTGCTTATTGTTTACCATGAATTATACAATTTTTTTTTTTTTTAATCAGCAAAGAAATAACTATATTGATGCAAAAGAAATTAATACAACAATATAAGAAGAAAGAAGAATGAGTGCAAAAAATATCATAGCGAACCAAATCAATCTCAACTAGGTTGACATCAATAAGATCGCTCAATCATATGCTAGCATACCATCAAAATTGGGGAAAAGCCAACCACAAACACCCAAAAAAAGATCAACACCCAGGTAGAGCAACCCAAAACTAAAACAACCCAACCAATCCAAACTACCAAACATGAAAACAAAACAGGACACCACAAAGAAAATGACAGCAGCCAAATTGAAATCATCACCACCACAGAGTAAAGCATCGACCACCAGCATTGATCACCCACAGACCGAACTGAGATAAATAATCAACATAGAAAATCAGCAGCATTGATCACCCACAGACCCAAGCATCGATCACCACCACAAAGTAATTATCCTAATCTCCTAATCAACACCCAAATCAGTACATTCAATAGCACATATATCATCAATCTGAGAAGAGTTACTGCCCCCACAGTTTAGCCACAAACCATAAGCATCACCCAAGAACCAACATAGATCAACACCACACACCAGACCAAGAGAATCATGCACAACCCAAACAAGACATTCACAACCTGAAATTAACAGAGCCTAACAAGCTAAAGCTGATATCTAATCTGCTGAATATTATTAACAATTTCATGCACAGTGTAGAAACAACCTGAAAAATGAACTTTTACCCAAACAGCAATTCTAAACTTAATCATGTCACAGACTTCCTCCAGATGCACTTGCTTACCATTGAACACCACCTCGTTCCTAAGTTTCCATAATGACCACATTACAGCCAGTGGAATAGTCCGCCAAATCGAATTTGTGAACTTACCCCACCTAAATCCACCCCACCAACCAAGAAGATCCTCCACATTTCGAGGTATAACCCAACGCAACCCCCACCAATGCATCACGCAAGCCCAGACTCTCCAAGCAAAAGGACACCATAACAATAACTGAGACACTACCTAATCCTCCATTTGACAAAACTTACACGACACAGAAGCACCAGGACCCAGCACCCCAATTCTTCGCAGAAAATAAGAAGTCTTAATTCGCCCTGTTCATGCCAACCAACCAAAAAAACTGAGCCTTTGGAGGAGATAAATTATTCCAGAGTATCTTAGTGACTAAACAGAACCTGAGGTGACCAACAGAGAATAAATGGAGGAAACACTAAACTGACCAGATGAACTTGCCACCCACTGGAGCCTATCAACCCGATCCAACAGACCATACCCAGCAGTATTCAAAAAATCACCCAACCTGATCAACTCATCAGATTCCCAGCCTAACAAGGCTCTACTACCATGAATTATACGATCTGTACTCCCTTTATACACGTGTTCTTTACTATTTTATGTGCTTTAATGCTATTACACAATTTGAACATGTTTGCAAATGTCAAAATAAAAAGAAAAGATGGTTAAAAGACTGTCTAAAATTTATCTTGAAATTTGTCTGGCTAATACCATGCAGTAATGAACTAGTAGATGCAAAGTGATAGAGCATGCATGCATGGTCATGTAATTCTTGGATTGAATGGATAGATAAGACAAAGGCAAAATGCGGGTTGGACTCAGAATTGCATGAAATTTGGTCGATTGAATTTGCTGTGTTTTAAAAGATTTGAAACTACAATGAGACTTCGGAACCTGATTCCGTCAAATATGTGGTTATCTTGAAAACATAAATTAGTAGTTTCTTTATTTTATTTCAATATTTTTATTTTCGGTAATTTTAGTTATGTTTCCTTGTAAGTATTACTCATTATGAAACTATCAATTCTTACTGTTTCCTACTAAATTAAGTCTATTTTGTTTATAAATAATGGATACAAGTCTTAGGACTCTTAAGTTTTTGAGAACGGATTCTAAGATTGTTATTTTTATTTTATTTTATTTATTTATTTTTATCAACAAAAGTTAGTTATTAATTGTTAGATTAGCTCGGACTCACCTCTCTCCGTAACTCGTCCTCGCCGACGATTCAGAGCCCAGTCACTCCCCTCGGCTGTGACGCCATGTTCTCCGCCGTCGCCGGTGGCGGAGGAGTCGATTCTCCATCTAACGCCGGAGCTCTGCCGCCCTCTTCCGGCATCATTGGCAACCTCCTGGCATCGTCGTCAGAGACAGCACCACCATCGTCGTCGATCTCCATTGAACTCACACTCTCTGGTTTCCATGGCAGCCGTATCATCCATTCCCTTTTGCCCACACACCCATCCTCCTTTTTTATTTTTTAAAACCAATCTTGCACACACACCCATCCTCTTTTTTATTTTTTAAACCCATCTACCTTTTTGCCCACACACCCATCATCCTTTTTATTTTTTAACCCAATCTTGGACACACACCCATCCTCTTTTTTTATTTTTTAAACCCATCTTCACCTTTCTTTTCTTTATTATCAAGCTTCGTTAGTCTAAAGCTTACTTGGTGCTCTCCCTGTTCCCACTACCTCCTTTATTATTATTATTTT